ATTTAGGAAAAGTTACAGTCAAACTAAAGAAAGGAAAATTTTAAAATGCAGTAAAAGTTGCTTTACAAATAAAACAAACAGATTTTAGCTGTAATTATCAGTATCCGGTAAGGAGAAGTGTGTATTCATTACAATAAACTCAAAATCATAAAAACTTATTCCAAAATCTTATTAATGTGGCCTTTTTCAGTTTTTGTCAATTCGTAATCTGAATTGTTGGAAAAAAGTTTCGATTCTTTGACATTCGGGTTCTTCCCGATTATGCATAATTAAAGCTTACTCGATGTGTAAATGTCATCATGGTATATAACAGAATTGTTATTTTTAGTCAAAACTTAATTTAATTGTGCAGTTTGAGCATGAGAGGAATAGTTATTTTGGATGAAAATTCAGTCCCATCACATTTTCATCAACATGCTCTTTCATAAAGAATAGAAAAGGTTATGGTATTTTTAAACCTGTCAGTAAATAAAGCTTCTTTAATTATAGGTTGATTAAATTGATGGCGATACCCTAACTTTTCTGAAGCATCACATCTTATTTTCAAAATAGGGTGGTGCTTAATTAATGCACAGGTGTATATTTCCAACCTTCTGATGACTTGCCTATTTCAGATCTAGATTGAGGTTCGTTCTTTAAAACGTCTGCTTCAGTGTCACGCTCCCCGTGTTGCACAATATATGAATTTATGTACTGTAAAACACAAGTATGTTAATAAGTTTCACATTCTTTGCGTGACAGTGTTTAGTGACAAGCCAAGCGAACCAAACAAGACAGGTTCCCCAAATGTGGGGTACTCAAGTCGCTGAGAGTGTTTTCAAATGAATTATGTTTAAGTACTTCCACATGAGGCGCCTCCGTTGTATTTGAAACGCGATATCAATCTGACCGTCGTGTGCCCGCGTGTGTCATGTGTACGCTCATTTCACACTGTCACAACGCCTTACAGTTGCCCTCCATTTGTGAACAAACCTTTCTCAGTTTAACCAATTGGCACACCGGAAGTGGCTTCCACATACATGCGCATATATGTCAATTATAAATTAAGGGATATAATTGACATGCACGGCGGTACGAAACCCCGTACCGAGCGTAATACTAACTCGTCTTTATAACAGGCACGCCAAAGAAATAAAGGTGAAAAGTTCATTCTTTCTGTCCACATGTCCTAATTGGTTGAACAGAATGAAAACCTGTGCCTCCACCAAAATATAGGACAATTGAAAATTGTGCTGGTGAGCAGATTAACTCTTGTGTAAATCCATTTGTCGCTTTACAGAATAGAGTAACTGTATAATAGGCCTTAGTTGTGTTTGAATGAGCCACACAAGAACAAATATTTGTCGCTGACAAGGAATCTTTTAGCTCCTTATTATGCCCCCATTTTACTGGGCTATGTCCAATCAAGACTACCCCGACTAGTGCCGATTCGTCACCTACGATGTTATCGTTCTCAATCGGCCAGTTTTTGTTTATATTTTCCTTTTCTACGCAGTATCTACGGTAAAACTACGTAATAGACGATGAAGAGACTGTAGACTTACGTATAAATGCCGATAACACTGCGATTGAGCACCTGTTGTTGATACGGTTTCACCCGGTATTGGCCGATTGGCTACGTTTAAATCAGGTTTCTGCTGCGATATATCTACGATTCAGTCCCGATTCCTCACGATGCTCGCCGACACAGGCTTACGATATCGAAGACTAATTGCCGTAAATGCCGAGTACACGCGAAGAATACAGATCGACGCCGAGTAAAGTACGTATAATTGCCGAGTAAGACACGTAAAATCGGCCTCCAAACCACAAAATGGTCCCGATTCTGGGCTATAAAAGCTGACGATGACAGCCGATTCTTATTATCTAGCAAATCATGCTCACAGCTGCACAACTACTTCTTCCGCTGCAACAACATATGGAGATAGATCTATATCAATACAGAAGGAATCAGGCACCAAAAAAAAACAAAAACGGTTTTGGGTACGTCCGCGGTTGAGGCTGGAAAGAAGATTGAACTTTGGAAACTATGACAATCTCCTATCTGAACTCAGATTCGAAGACACGCCTTCTTTCTTCAACTATCTGCGAATGCCTCCTGATATGTTTGATGAACTGCTTAATTCCCTGTCTCCCAGACTTACCAACAGAAGACACCAACTTCAGGAAAGCTCTGCACCCTGGTCTGAAGTTGGCAGTTTTACCATAAGGCCCCTAGCCTCTGGAGAGAAGTACCCCTCCCTCTCCTATCACTTCAGAGTATCAAGACACACCATAGCCATCTTTCTCCCAGAGGTGTGCCAAGCCATCGTAGACCACTACAAGGATACAGTAAGTGCATGCCCTGTCACTCAAGGGGATTGGAAGACCATCTGTCTGGAATTCGAGCAGAGATGGAATCTCCCTCATGCTGTTGGTGCCCTCGATGGAAAACACATCGCGATTCGTAAGCCACCTGATAGTGGAAGCCTCTACCACAACTACAAGGGTTTCTTCTCCATTGTCCTGGTTGGCCCTTGTAGATGCTAATTACAGATTTCTATGGGTGGACGTCGGAGGCCTGGGTCATATGTCAGATGCACAAATCTTCAATGCCTCACAGTTGAAAGAGCGTATAGAAGATGGCCGCATATGCTTCCCCGAACCTGAACCATTGCCAAATGATGATCTGGATACGCCTTACTTCATACTTGCAGATGATGCATTTGCCCTTCGTCAATATCTAATGAAACCCTACTCAAGAAGAGGTCTGTCAGAAGCCGAACTGATTACCACTATAGGATCTCCAGAGCAAGAAGAGTCGTGGAGAATGCCTTTGGTATTCTTGCAAACCGATGGCAATTTCTTCTCAACACTTCGCATTAGGGTCCAGATGTGGTTATGATTATGGTTGAATCTGCCGTGTGCGTCCTGGCTGTCATCTGGTGGTGGGGTGGGTGATCTCACCCTCTCCCTGTTGGCTGTTCTCTTTGTTCTTGCCATGTTTCCATTACAGCAGTTGAAATTGGAGTGATGTTGACTTCGATCGCCAGTGCTGTTATACCTTTTCTGTCAGTCTGATGTGAATCATGCAAGTCGTGAGTAAAGCGTGAACATTACGAACGTGGACTGTCAATAACGAATCGTTATATGTTATGTGACATAGTTGAATTTCTAACGTCGATGTTACAGGATATACGTGAGTTGACCGGCTAACGTGACAGTACATGTTGTACAAGACAAATCTCATGGATAACAACTTCTTGATTTATTTTTCACAACGTTTCTGGGCTAGTTCTTGCCCCTTCTTCAGGTGGATGATGGCGATAGTGAACAGTACAGTATATATATATATAGAAGCCAGATATGTAAATTGAGTATATACAAGTGCAAGGGGAAAAGGAGATATTATTAAGTATGTACAAACAATGCAGTAAGATCAAAAGAGCAGAATACAATGATAGGGTATGTTTACATAGCAGGGTGGTTAAAGCAGAGATTTGTCTTGTATTACTACACCAACATCTAAATGCCTTTGAACAATTTCAGTACATGTTTTAGTTGAAATCGAAGCTCTACTAACAGGACACAGGCCGTTATGGTGTGAATGCCAGATGACCTCACCGTTAACGTCCTACAGTGATAGTCAGTTATTCGTGGAATGTATGGCAATATACGTCAATGTAATCTCAGTACCTATGATCTCTATAGAGTGTTGTTATGTCGTTGTGGTTCTGTGTTTGTTCCGAGTCATTGTTGTCACATCCTTTTATCTCTGGTGCACATCACATATTCTCCAAGTAGTCAACTCCGGGAAAAGGAATAACTTGGATCAAGCTTAAGATACCGGAGGCGAATACCAGACTGACAAACACGGACTGAAGATATCCCTCTTTATATAGGATCGCCACCTAGCGACCAAGTTACTACCGTTTGTCTCCCCATTAATCCTAGGTGATGACCCCTCGTTTCGCTGCTTATGGCAATGGCACACCAACCTATTTCAAGTCAAAGGTTGTCTGTAACATATGTAGGTGAGTGCTGGTCTTGTCATTGAGCAACAGGATAATGTAGATCCTTACACTGTCAGCTGGCTGAGTGGGTTAACCTATTTGGTCACGTGGACAAGGCCCTCGACCGTAGGAACAAAAGGTCCGTGGTTAGAGGCCCGTGAATATCCGGCTTAGCACTGGTATTCAGCGACGCATGCTTCTTGTAAGGGGCGACTGACAGGACAAAGTGGTCAGACTCACTGATTTGGTTGATACATGTCAGTCACTAGATTGTCCGGTCCAGACATATTTACACATCGTAGCCATATACTGTACTGAGCTGGAACATTGCTGAGTTCGGTGTTAAATGACAAACAAACAAATCTGTGGTTCGTATTTTTATGGCCGCTACACAGACATGGCTAGTCCATTATATCTTTATCCTATGATGGTTCATATTCGATTTTCCAATGTGTTCTATATGCCTTCGACAATATTACATATAAACTGCCTTTGAAAATCGAGGATGGGCTGAGGGTAAGACTGCGAGTGGAAACACCGGCATGGACGGGTAAGGACAAACAATGTTCTCCACTCATGTAGTATGATTGTAAATATCGTGACATCGTAAAACAAGCAACATACTTTCGAAGAGCTTTTATATTTACAAAATATCCAGTAAACAGTCATTTGTTTTAACAACAACTATCCATCCATCAAATATCATTGGATAAAATAGGTGCAGTCGAAAGAGAAAATAAGTCCTATGGCTTCGTAAAAGTAGACTAAATATAGAAGTGTGACGTCACTTCATTGTACATTTCACACGTGATGATAACACACTCCTAAACCGCATGTACTGATTACTGACGAGAGTGGCATGTGCTACCTCAATGCGGAATGGTACTGTTACAGCACGTGTTCTTCACGTGATCCTGAAGAAGATACACAACTTTTAGATAACTTCCACGCGAAACTGTACTGACCTATTATAATACCCACATCTTTGAAATTAAAAAAAACACAAACAAAATGTTCCACATTTTTATTTAAGTGTGTGCTTCATGTGAAGAAATCCCAAATCGTGTGCAGGAGAACATCCCTAAGCGCTGAAATAACAACAAAAACAGTTAGTGAGTATACCTTTCTGGTCCATGTGATATACGGGGGGTGACTTAATATAACGGTACGCGTGGAGGATATTATGTATATACAGTATATAGAGGTATTATGTAGATATAATAGTATATACACTTGATGTTAATGGAATATACAGACAATATACCAGTACATACGGACGTGTAGTGTGATGTAGATATAAGTGCTGGTTAGTGAGTGAGTGAGTGGATTTATTTTTGCGCCGCTTTTAGCAATGTTCCAGCAATATCAGAGTGGGAGACACCAAAAGTGGACTTCACACATTTTACCCATGTAAAATCGAATCCGAGTCTTTGGCGTGACGAGCATAAGCTTTAACCACTAGGCTACCCCACCGCCCCTTGCATGGTAGAGAAGGGAGGGGACATTAAGAGAAAGTAAAGAAATGGATGATAGGAAGAGGGGAAATGGGGAAGAGCCCAAACAGGGGGTATTGAGACAGGCGGTAGAGAGAGGGATAGAGAGAGTCAGAGAGTGAGTGAGTGCGGGAAAATGGTTTTACGCGTCTGTTGGCAATATCAGGACGGGGAACCAGACAAAGGCTTCACACATTGAGGCAACAGGGGAACAGAAAGCGTGGCCGAGAATTACTAGGTGACCAGTATGAAACTCACTTTGGGCAGGTACAGACGTCATTGTGATGGTCACAGTGGGCTCCATGTGCGCAGGAAGAACACTCAGCAGCGCAGAAGTCGTGTCCACCATGTGCCTCGTTCTTACAGGAGCCCGCACACTGCTGGCCACTCACCTCGCCTGGTGAACATTCAGGGACGGCGTTAAAGGTGTCATTTAATAAGAATAGATTACAGATCACCACTCTCAGAGACAGTTAACCCTTTAGCGAATACGGCCAGATATTTCTTTCTTATGAACACAAGCGAATGTCTAGTTGAGAAATGGTTTAAACATGATTTCATACCAAAACAATCGTATTTTATTGTCTTTTCTGATATGCTTAAGTTGTGAAAATTAAGTCTAGGCTAATTACAGACTTCTTTCCAAACTAAAGCTAAGATGACTGACATGATTGCATTTTCTATTGCAGCTGTTTACACTAAGTATAGTTCCTAACACACGGCCGGTAACGTTGATACCAATACAGAATGCATACAAACTTGTATTAAATAAGAATAAATTGTACAAAAGAAAGAAGAAAACTCTGACATACATACAACCGAAGTGGTTATTCACTTAGGTTCCCCGGTCACATGCACGCACGCAGGCACGCAAGCACATTCGTGTACACGCACGCACACACACACACACACACACACACACACACACACAGACGCATTGAAAATCCAAGCTGCTTAAATCTGCGATACACCCAATTGACACCACTTTATCACTTTTCTCGGAGCTGCTTACCTGTGTTGAGGGTGAAGACTGCAATGACCAGGAGAAGAGCGAGATACTTCATGTTGTCTGTTAGTGGGTATGGCGTCTTGGACAGCAACCGGGGCTTATATAGTTGACGTGACGTGTGGGAATACAGTGGCAGCAAGATAATCAGAAGTTGTGCTTTAGAACGGAGACACAAGTTTGAACACCGGTACTCTATCTACAGACATCTGTTGGAACAGAACAGAACTTTATCTCAACGCTCAATCTCTCTACCACACTAGATGTACAGGATAATGGCATTCCTCTCACATATCGTGTACAACTTTCAAAAACTCCAGTTCTGTTATCATGGAGCTCAAACAAAATATATAAAAGTTTTTAACCGGACAAAACAAACTATAACTGATCAATAAAAATATGCTATATTCCGCGAAACTATTTCGCACAGTGCATTCACACTATACTGGTCATTTGGTCTGGAATACTTTGACACAGTTGCTGACGTCAACAAGTCGCCGGTCCCTGGCCGCTGCTCACAAACAGCCAGCCACAAAGAATTCACCCCTCAGCCAGGGCGGCTACTGAGCTTCCCAGTCACTCTGATAATGTCTCCACCCAGGGCGACTACCAAGCTACCCAACCACCGTGATAATGTCTTCACCCTGGGCGACTACCAACCTACCCAACCACCCTGATAATGTCTTCACCCAGGGCGACTACCAACATACCCAACCACCCTGATAATGTCTTCACCCAGGGCGACTACCAACCTACCCAGTCACCCTGATAATGTCTCCACCCTGGGCAACTACCATGCAACCCAACCACCCTGATAATGTCTTCAGGGCAACTACCAAGCTACCCAACCACCCTGATAATGTCTTCACCCTTCAGGGCGACTACCAAGCTGCCCAACCACCCTGATAATGTCTTCACCCAGGGCAACTACCAAGCTACCCAACCACCCTGATAAATGTCTTCTCACCCAGGGCGACTTCACCCAGGGCGACTACCAACCTACCCAGTCACCCTGATAATGTCTCCACCCAGGGCAACTACCAAGCTACCCAACCACCCTGATAATGTCTTCACCCAGGGCAACTACCAAGCTACCCAACCACCCTGATAATGTCTTCACCCAGGGCAACTACCAAGCTACCCAACCACCCTGATAATGTCTTCACCCAGGGCAACTACCAAGCTACCCAACCACCCTGATAATGTCTTCACCCAGGGCGACTACCAAGCTACCCGACCACCCTGATAATGTCTTCACCCATGGCAACTACCAAGCTACCCGACCACCCTGATAATGGCTACACCCTGGGCGACTACCAAGCTACCCAACCACCCTGAAAATGGCCCCACCCAGGGCGACTACCAAGCTACCCAGTCACCCTGATAATAACTCTACCCAATGAAATCACCAAGCGACCGGACCACCCTGATAATATCTACACTCGCTTTTTGGTTTCGGTGGCGACTTCAACGGTACCTCACACGTTGTCCTCTCAACAACTACTGCACGGTAAGCTTTTCGGTATCTGCTAATACTTACAGGCAGACTTGACACCTAGAAGTGAGAACTCTGAACATTATATAGGGAACTGTCATTAAGTGTTCCCTCTGTAGCTTTAATCAGGACCAATTTGCCACAGTAGTGACTGGAATATTATGAGAATTAAGGACTGACTGTGTTTTTATTTTCGGTTCATTGACATATGAATTAAATTATATTTTCGTTGTGGTCATTGTAATTCCTGCATTCGGAATGTAAAGCAATTTTTACCATTACTGTTTGTCGGAGAATCCCATATACAGACCTGAGAATTCCCTTTCCGTCTACCAGTATCATTCGTTCACAGTACATTTTAGCGATATATTCATGCATGTTCGGTTTTACGCTCGTCTGGTTTAAACGAATGACACAAGAAGCCCATTGACAGTGGCGACCAGTGCTTGTTTCATCCTCTCGACCAGGCACGGTAACCTCAAGTACAGAATTACGACGGTTCTGAGAAGTTACTTCAGTCAGTAAACCAAGGAGGGTAACAGGTTAACAACACCAGGGAGAGTACGTTCCAACGGGCGTAATATCCGGGCTCTTCATTAATTAGCCCGGACCTGTTGTAAACCGAATGCTGATGGGTGTTCTGTGCTTCTTCCAACACAGACTGTAATTCAACCTTAATTAAATGTACATCTAGTTCGAGTCTGTTTGCGTTTCAGTGACTTGAGCCACGCTCTAAAATAAATGAAAGAAATAGGGGTTGGAGCCGCAAGTCGCTGAGCAGAAATACTTTCTTCGATTGTATTTATGTGAATGTGCTTCCAGAGGCCCCCTCGTTGTATTAAATTGTGCTGACAATCTGGCCGTCGTTACTTCACACAATCACAAGCATTACAGCAGTTGCCCTCCAGTTGTCTAACATGGACGTTACAGGATATAGCTGACTGTCTAACATGGACGTTACAGGATATAGCTGACTGTCTAACATGGACGTTATAGGATATAGCTGACTGTCTAACATGGACGTTACAGGATATAGCTGACTGTCTAACATGGACGTTACAGGATATAGCTGACTGTCTAACATGGACGTTACAGGATATAGCTGACTGTCTAACATGGACGTTACAGGATATAGCTGACTGTCTAACATGGACGTTACAGGATATAGCTTACTCTCTAACATGGACGTTACAGGATATAGCTGCCTGTCTAACATGGACGTTACAGGATATAGCTGGCTGTTATAGGTTATATATAGCTGGCTTAACATGGACGTTACAAGGTATAGCTTGCTATCTAACGTGCACATTATAGGATATTGCTGGCTGTCTAACATGGACGTTACAGGATATAGCTGGCTGTCTAAAATGGACGTACAGGATATAGCTGACTCTCTAACGTGGACGTTACTGGATATAGTTGACTGTCTAACATGTACGTTACAGGATATAACTGGCTGTCTAACGTGCACGTTATAGGATACAGCTGGCTGTCTAACGTGCTTGTTATGGGATATAGCTGGCTTTCTAACATGGACGTTACAAGATATGGCTGACTGTCTAACATGGTCGTTACAGGATATAGTTGACTCTCTTACATTGACGTTACAGGATATTGTAACAGTAGGCAGTCTAACATGGTCGTTACAGGATATATTTGACTGTCTAACATGGACGTTACAGGATATAGCTGACTGTCTAACATGGACGTTACAGGATATAGCTGACTGTCTAACATGGCCGTTACAGGATATAGCTGGCTGTCTAACATGGACGTTATAGGATATAGCAGACTGTCTAACATGGTCGTAACAGGATATAGCTGGCTGTCTAACATGGACATTACAGGATATAGTTGACTGTCTAACATGGACGTTACAGGATATAGCTGGCTGTCTAACATGGTAGTTACAGGATATAGCTGGCTGTCTAACATGGACGTTACAGGATATAGCTGGCTATCTAACGTGCACATTATAGGATATTGCTGGCTGTCTAACATGGACGTTACAGGATATAGCTGGCTGTCTAAAATGGACGTACAGGATATAGCTGACTCTCTAACGTGGACGTTACTGGATATAGTTGACTGTCTAACATGCACGTTATAGGATATAACTGGCTGTCTAACGTGCTTGTTATGGGATATAGCTGGCTTTCTAACATGGACGTTACAAGATATGGCTGACTGTCTGACGTGGACGATACAGGATATAGTTGACTGTCTAACATGGTCGTTACAGAATATAGTTGACTCTCTTACATTGACGTTACAGGATATCGTAACAGCAGGCTGTCTAACATGGACGTTACAGGATATATTTGACTGTGTAACATGGATGTTACAGGATATATTTGACTGTCTAACATGGACGTTACAGTTTATATGTGACTGTCTAACATGGCCGTTACAGGATATAGCTGGCTGTCTAACATGAAGGTTATAGTATATAGCTGGCTGTCTAACATGGACGTTACAGTATATAGCTGACTGTCTAACATGGTCGTAACAGGATTTAGCTGGCTGTCTAACAAGGACGTTACAGGATATATTTGACTGTCTAACATGGCCGTTACAGGATATGGCTGGCTGTCTAAATCGGAGGTTATAGTATATAGCTGGCTGTCTAACATGGACGTTATAGCTTACAGCAGAGTGTCTAACATGGTCGTAACAGGATTTAGCTGGCTGTCTAACATGGCCGTTACAGGATATGGCTGGCTGTCTAATATGGAGGTTATAGTACATGTATATAGCTGGCTGTCTAACATGGACGTTATAGTTTACAGCAGACTGTCTAACATAGTCGTAACAGGATTTAGCTGGCTGTCTAACATGGACATTACAGGATATGGCTGGCTGTCTAACATGGCCGTTACAGGATATAGCTGGCTGTCTAACATGGACGTTATAGTTTACAGCAGACTGTCTAACATAGTCGTAACAGGATTTAGCTGGCTGTCTAACATGGACATTACAGGATATGGCTGGCTGTCAAACATGGTAGTTACAGGATATAGCTGACTGTCTGACGTGGACGATACAGGATATAGTTGACTGTCTAACATGGTCGTTACAGGATATAGTTGACTCTCTTACATTGACGTTACAGGATATCGTAACAGCAGGCTGTCTAACATGGACGTTACAGGATATATTTGACTGTGTAACATGGATGTTACAGGATATATTTGACTGTCTAACATGGCCGTTACAGGATATGGCTGGCTGTCTAAATCGGAGGTTATAGTATATAGCTGGCTGTCTAACATGGACGTTATAGCTTACAGCAGAGTGTCTAACATGGTCGTAACAGGATTTAGCTGGCTGTCTAACATGGCCGTTACAGGATATGGCTGGCTGTCTAATATGGAGGTTATAGTACATGTATATAGCTGGCTGTCTAACATGGACGTTATAGTTTACAGCAGACTGTCTAACATAGTCGTAACAGGATTTAGCTGGCTGTCTAACATGGACATTACAGGATATGGCTGGCTGTCTAACATGGCCGTTACAGGATATAGCTGGCTGTCTAACATGGACGTTATAGTTTACAGCAGACTGTCTAACATAGTCGTAACAGGATTTAGCTGGCTGTCTAACATGGACATTACAGGATATGGCTGGCTGTCAAACATGGTAGTTACAGGATATAGCTGACTGTCTTACATGGACGTTACAGAGTATAGCTGACTGTCTAA